TTCTTACTTTTCACTTCATTCTTCACTTTAAAATGTACACGTTATAAATACGAGTACTTTTTTTATGTGTGTGATACGTGCATATCTGATGTGAATCGCTAATAAATGCTTTCATCTAAATTATGGTGTAAATTTATTGTACAGTTCACATGAATATATTTAGGAAACGTACATATTTGACGTCAATTTTATGCAAAGCATCCATCTGAAATGTGGCGACTTTTCATACAATCCAAACAGTCCTAACATTTCTGAACAAAAAAAGATTTGAAAAAGTTCGAAAAAAAGAAAAAAAAGATAGTGAAAGAAGGATCCAAAGCCGTACGGCCTATCGAATGAAACGAATTGTTAATGAAAAGCAAAGAGGAAGAATAAGTTTTTTGATAGAAAAAAAGGACGTAAAAACAAAAATTACTTTTCCAACAACTTTATTGCTTTTTCAATTTCTTCTTTTTTGTATCGTATTTTAAGAAGGAAAGGGTAAATAAAAGAGAAAAAATTTATCGATTCTTTTTTTTTTTGATCTTTGAATATTATATATGGTATTCAATACTGAATCTATAATCTGTTTGTTTGATTATTTATTATTTGGTAAACAAATTGATTACTGTACAGGGCAAACATTTATTATTTTACCAGTTTATTATTAATTAATGCCATTAATTAATGCTTCGTACAATTTGGTTTTATGGTATTCTTATTTTGAGCTTATACCGTACACTATCATACATCCCTTCTATATGATTAATTTATTAATTTGATAATGAAGCTTAACCAGTGAAATTGCAATACTGAAAATTGAAACATCAATAATTTGAAGGATACAAATCAAAAATGCCAAAAGATTTACAATATTGTGCAAAAAATGCAAAATACTGTAAATTTAATTAATCAATCAATATACTTATTCTTTAATACTTCATCCAAAATTGTTGTTAAAACATATATCCCAGCGATTACTTTTCCTATTTTTCAGTAAATTTGTCAATTTAAAGATAAATAATCAAAATTTGCAGAGAAATGTCATTGTTCAACCAAATGAAACTCAGTGTGGCGAAGGCATTACAATTCAGTACCGATGGCAACATATTCGAGATTCCGGACTGTGCTGCATTATTGACAACGGATAAAATCTCTATCAAAGTAGCTAGCGATACTCAAATGTAACGATCATACTCTTACAAATGATTAATTACAATTCAATATCGATTAATTTGCGATAATGATTTGTTCAAATTCAATTGTAGAAATTGATATTTGGAAAAGAGAAAATCGAAAAGATCCATGCAATTATTTGATAGTACATCTGTTATCAGCAAGTTAAATGATTATCAATTAAATTAATGATGAATTAAAAATGCTGATCGCTTCAAAAAGATCCATCTGAGATGTTCAACTACTATTGAAATGTCCTCAATAATTTTGCATTAATTCTAGTTTCTATGATATGTTATTTCTAAGTTATAAATAATTTGTGTAATTTACAGGTTAATGAAATAAATCTGTAGATAGATGGTTTTTTTTTTCAATTTTTAATCAATAATTTTTATTATTCAATATTATGTGTAATTTAACATCTACCACTGTAATTTTTCGTATTTTTTTCTTCTAGGATCAAAGCAATAGTAGATTATAGTGAACATCACACTGCAAATTTTAATATTCGTTTTTTGATACGAGACGAAAGAAGAGATAAGAAAACAATTATGTCTGCTAACCTGATATCTGGTACGGTATGTTACTTAATTCATTTCTATCACAAATGAATTATGATCATTTGTAAGAGTATGATTGTTAGTTAGAGTATACGAAATAGATAAAGAAAATAAACTACGAAGAAAAAAGAAATTAAGATTAAATTGTCAGTAATTTTTTTATAATTTCTAACATTTAGATTCGACAATATTTACCTAAGTTCTGTCAATTTAAAATAAAACGATATTCTCATTATTACTATAAGCTATTAATTTTTTCGAATTAAAATCAAATATTCAATAGAGAATAAATGTTATTTTGTTAAATACTTTGAAAAGCCTTACCATTTTCTATTTCATGACCCAATTTATAGGTCACGATTTTAAAGTAAAGGATGTAATTTATGGATCAGGGTTTTGAAATAAAGGATGTAATTTACAGGTCACGGTTTCGAAGTAAAGAATGCAACCGGAGCACGGGTAATGGATATTAAAATACCAAATAGTACCGCTTCATTGTCAATTGGAAAAATTGTTCATCCTCTCAGTGCCACAATTTATAAGGTAAATATTGAAAAGGTGTTGATTTCATTTATTGATATTTGATGATTTAATTAATTATAATTTCATTTTATCCAAGCATCTCATAGATTCAATGATAACATTCTTTCATATATCAACATAACTGCACAAGGTAACTTTTTTATCCAGCTTTTTTATTCAATCTTGAATTGTGATTATCAAATATTTACTTCATATTTTTTTTAATCGAATGTTTTCAAATCATATTAAAATGACAGAAGAAAATCAGATTAGATTGGATTTCTTAGAAGATTTTAGAATTTGTTTATCGACGAATGGATAATAACTTCATAAATCACTGCTTTAAAAAAATCGTTTTATTTTAAAGGTATTATATGATAACATGGAGACAAACAATCATCGTTTTCAAGTGCATCATTTATCATCGGATCAATCGTTAATTAATGTCGAAAAGGTACTTTTATGCTTTCAATAATCATTAGAAATTAAATGCATAATCTCATCGAATCGTAATGGGATGATAATAATTTTACTCTCTTTCAAATGAAATTTCTGTTCGATTGCACATTTTTATTGAACGATTTTATGATATAAAATTTTCCAAACAATCGATATATTTACAGATCTCTTTGTCGGTGTATCCAATACTTAAAATGATTGGAATACTCGAAACTGAATGCGTCTATCAGTTCAAACGTATGGATGGTATTGAAGTGGCACGCGTTTATCCTAAAATTGTTTTAAACGGCAGGACGCTTATTTTGAAATATGAGTAAGTGCAGTCTTAATTAATTTCGGTTGCAAAAATCTCCTATTTTTTTTTTCAAAAGTTTAAATCGATTTATATACGAATATATATGTTCAAAGATTGCTTTAAAACGATTGAAAAAGTGTGCTAATTTACAGAACGATGCAACTTGGCATGCAAATGCGTGCAGTAATTTTGGGTACATCATTAATGCTTGTTTTGCATGATGTATATCCGGATATCCGGAATGCATTGGCCGCATCAATTTTAAGGATTGGAAGTGGTGAAGCCATGAATACCTAAGGCCTGAGATATTATCATTGCATTCGCATCATTTGCATATTTCAGAAATTATTAAATTCTTCGAAAATTTTCCGTGAAAAAAATTAAAAGTGTAATGGGAGAAAATTAAAATTTTCAAAAATTTTCGCTAATGAAACTTATTAATCTGTTCTAAAAGTTGCAATATTATTGTTATTTGAAATTTATTTCACAGTTACAATTGCATATAATTGTTTGCAATCTGTTCTTTTTTTTTTAACTTCCATTTTTCTCTCATTGAATAAATCACTTTTGTTTTGGGTATTTGGAGCATTCAGAATTGTTCTACTATATTTACAGTTTTAGCTTATTTAGAATTTTTGAAATTTCAATTCTTCGATAGCATCTGCAGTATTTTGCAATAAAAATAATAATTGATATATAAAATATTCAAACGAAAGTTATGCGGCTAACTTGCCAATTCGCATTATTGTTATCAAACTATTAATTCAAGTTTCAGACCATTAATTCAATCATTGTTATCAGATTATTAATTGCTGTTATCAAATAGTTAATTCGAAAGAAATATTCACAAAGTCTTTTTTGCTAGTTATCTTATAAATATACATTCATGTAATACAAATTGCGCATGACTTCCTTTTTGATGGTTTATATTTAAGTATTAAAAAATAGTGAACAGTAATGTTTGGGGTTTGATTAAAGTACTTATAATACATAAACGAAGAAATAAAAAACTGTTTGGAATACAAAGAAACCATAGAAATTCTCAAATAATATCATTTTATCTTAAAAACATTGAGCTTTTTCTTTAAGATAAGCATAGCTAACAATTATGTTTCCAAAATTTGCATGAAAATTTTAAAATGGACTTTTTTGCTAAATCTTTTATTAAAAAAAAAGATGTTTGAAAGTTTCGATTACAAATATGATTGGTGTAGACTTGAAATCAATAAACACCATTAATGCAACTGCATTAAAATTCAAAAAGAAATAAGTAATTAATTAATTTGTTAAAATTTCAAATAATCAATGTTAAAGATTGAAAAAAATAGAAAAAACTGCATTTCGAATTGTTGAGATATTCTAATTGAAATATTTTTGTTTCATCTCAATTTAATTTAACAAATATGTATTGCATCTTTTTCAAGTCCCTAAAGACAAGAAAACCTTCGGAAACAACTAATATATTCAAATGTTAAATCATTTAAATTTTAATATAACATTGATAATGTTTTCACAATTCAAAGGCCAGCAGTATTAACGGTAAATTTGAAACGATTTATATTTTACAATTGCAAAATTTACAATCGTAAACAGAAACAATGATTAAATTAAAATTTTCCAAAGATTCTAAAAAACGAAATATGTTAAATAAAAATATTGAAAAGCCAAAAGTACATCCAATTATAATAATTATGATGTCATAGAAGAAATCCTTTTTCTCTCTCTTTAAATTATTAGCTTCAACTCTTTGAGATTGCTTGTCGAAATTGGAGGCAAAAAAGTTGATCAGATATAAAACTTCAATTACTATTTTAACAGTTAATTGTCAACGTCAAAAAATTTTATCAACTCGAGTATAATCATTGTAATTATTAATTAGTGTTAATTAATCGATCCTTTTTTCCCGTTTCTCTTCTAAATCAACCAATTTTGCTAATCTTCATCACTGTCTACTACGATAGCATTTTCTTATCATACTTACCTTTTCTTTCTTATCAGTACCTTTTATTCAACCAAAATTATACGCCTTCGATAATTTTCCTCTTATCTCTTACAGACAACATTTGAAATATCAGATTCATAACGGTGAAACAATTGCCAGAAATGCGAGAAATTTTTCAGTGCACGATATGAATTGAAATTTCATTTTCAATTGAATTTGTATTGATCAGAAATCGCATCATTGCAAAAATATGCGCGACAAAGTTTATTGAATCGTCGGTTGCGAGAGTGCACGATAGCAAACGACGTTCACTCACAATAATAATGCATGCAGTAAAAATTACAAAGCTTAAAATGCAGTTTAAAATTTACATTTAAAAGAGTTTCAATTTGACCAAAAATAACAGAATGAGGCACATTTTCCTCTTTATTAAGGAACGGATGATATTTGGCCAATTATTTACACTCCGAGTATTTGTCATAATTGGGCTCTCGCGTTCAATGCTACTACTAATTTTTGATTTCTTTCCTTTCAACTTATCTTTTCAGCTTTTTAATTATTTATTGAGTTAATTTTAGAAGAAATCGACGATGAAAATATTTTAAACGGAATTTTTTATTCCTTATACCATTTCAAAATCCTTCTTCTAATACTTCAACATGAGATAGAGATTTTATAACATTTGATAAAATTTTATGAGATTTTATAAGCAAATTTTTAGGTTCAATTGCAAAACTTGCAAAACAATTTACATATTACAAATTTATTCCCTGAAGTTTAATGAAATTTCCGCAATATAGCATAATGCGCACGCTAAGCACGCTAATCTAAGCTTACACCGCATTATGCTTCCAAAATATAACGCTGAAGGATATTTGTTCCAGTCATGGAAGTTGTGCAAAGTGTGATACATCAGAGTGGAAAGAAATTGTCGCAACTTCTATTTCATAGGATAATTTATACAGTAGTTTAAAAAATGCAAATTAAATTTAGAATTCATTCCGATTATGAATGAATGATTTCAATTTTTTCTTATCGGACGAAATTTGCAATTATCTTAATTGTTGAAAATATTTAAATTCATACTAATCGTGATATACTTTCCATTTCTTTTCTCAATTGCAAATAATCCCATCATTTTTATCGATTCATACGTTACTAATTAAAACTTTATTATGATTGTAATGGATAGTAAGAGATAATGTGCAACAATTTGTAGTGCTCAATTCTGCTATTCATGACACGAATTGTAGCAGAAAGACTTACAACCTGGTCGTGGAGGTCAAAGGACAGGTAAAATAAATTAAAAAGTTTTTTGTTGCCTTTTATTTGTGAAAATTTCACTCGCTATTATCGGACGGCATTGCTGTGAGCTTTCGTACTGGTTCTTTTATCGCAACAAAATATACTTCATTTTAATGGATCTAATAAATCGATCAGAATTTCAAGTTACATAAAACCATATGTTTCAAGCAAATGAAAAATTGTTTCCCTTTCAATTCTTCACTTTTGTACAAATTTTTGTTTTCGTGTACAATGAATGAATGAATGCATTACTTAATCCTAGTTTAAATAGAGTAAATGTATTATTTGCTATTTAGCATAAATATTTCTTGATAAATTTAAAACTACTAAAATAAGCCAACGTTGCATGGGAAGGAAAAATGTAATTTCACTCCTTCAGATCTCGAATGAGATCTATTTCCTTTCATGATGCTATCTGTGCAGATTTTGATATCTTCTAAATTTTATTGGAAGCAATGAAGTGCTACTACAGACTGGTAACATCAGACATGATAAAAAGGAAGGAAAGATATGCGAAGCAAAAGTGATTATCATGAATTCGATCTATGAACATGTTCACCTTTATCTTTTTCGCATTCTTTCTAATATGTATAAATATGTACTTCTTTACACCCAAGAAAACCCATTTACATATGTATGCACGCGAAATCATTTACAGGTATATCGTGCACAACAACGAAAACAGAAACAGAACCAACAACAACACAACCGAAAATAGAATAAATAAGAATTTGGGAAGAAAAAAGAAAAGGAGGAAGAATAAATATATAGGAATTTAAAAATATTGACTTTGGAGGAAGTTTATGCTTTTCTATTGGCAAATTTCAATTATCAGCTCTAGAATTAACTACCATTTTCATTCTAATAAATAAAACAAAGACCATCACGGAACAAAAGAATAATGAATGGTCTATTTATAAGTCAACAAAATACTCTAAAAGTGTACTTCCATAAATATTTCATAAGTTTAAGTGAGGAAAAAGTTAGAAATCGCAACAAACAAACTCCTAACCATGAAAGAAGCGAACGAAAGAAGAGCGATGTAAAATGCCTTCAACTGTCTAGTTTGGATAACTGCAAAAAAAGCTTTCATAGAATAGATACTTTTTCTTTTGTCTCTCAGAACTATTTTTGTTCTTAAAATTTAGTCGATGGCACATACATCACATTCATTTTGCACAAGTAACTCTATTCATAATTTTGACTGCACAAAAAAAAATCCCGGAAGTAACTTCAACTTAACAGAATTTAAGTAATTTTAATTTGACAGAAGTTTAAAGTATCACAGTAACAACAGCCCATAAAAAAAAGCTATCAATAAAGATAAAATACTGGACTTAGAAAGAAATAAAAAATTTTTTAATGCATGGCTGAAGATTTAAAGGAAAGCAGAAATTACAAAAACATGCAAGTGATTTGGTTTAAAATGGAGGAACCATATGAGATGAAAAGCGCTATTGCAATCTGACTCGCATCTTAATATGAGACAGTTCAAACAAAAAAAAATGTAATTCATCTGACTATCAGAAATATGCAGTACTAGAATCAAACTACAACCCTTTGATACTATCACTTTTGGTTTTAAATGCCAAATTACTTTTCTATAATTAAAAATTTAAAAAATTAAAAAGGAATAATTGTTTTAAGAAAAGGAGATATCATAAAGAATAAATAAAAAAAATCTTGGTATTATCAACTTTTCATGGCTATAATTCCTCCTATCATAAAAGAAGATAGAATGGAAGAGCAAAAAGAATGGAAGCTTTTGTTCCTTTGTTTCAAATTACCCGAGACCATTTTGTTTACATTCAACCAATGCTAAATCAGTCCTTTCGTCTATTAATAGTTCCAAGTTCATCAACAGTAACGGTTGCATCGAATTGTTAATATTATCCGACAACTTTTATCTGCAACTCAATTTCGTTTTATACGATCAAGCCAACTCGAAATAACATGAAAAATTAGATGACTTTGATGCCCAAAGTAAAGTCAACCAATATCAATACCAATTTGAACAAAACTTGATATCTTGACCGTATCAAATATCAAGTCCAATCTGAATGCCCTGACTAAATTAAAAGTTCTGAAATTTTTTTTGTAAGGAATAGGGATGAGAGGAGAGGGAGAGATTATACAATTTATCATGAATCAAACAATAATTTGGCTTAAATTGTAAGACAGGAAAGTAATCTAATATAAATTCGCCGCTCGTATAACACGTGAAAAATAATGGATTTGTATAGAGTATTTCGTTTTTCTGATCTTTAATTACTGGTTAACTTACTCTTACTAAAGCTTATTCTGAAACTGCCTAAATTTGAGTGTTGTCTCTTCCACTCCATTTCAGAACATTACAAGTGTACATAAATTTTTCATTTTGAATTATTCAGAAAATCTGATAATAAGCATTGTAAGAAGTTAATTGAAAACGAAGAAAAACAAAAGAGAAGTAGCAATGTACATGCATGTAAATAGATGAACGAACAAACGCAAACACACATAGCAACAAACGAAAAGTCACCTTTTAGTGCCTAGTACACTAATTACTAGACATCCACATGGCTGTTCGTTTTATAATATAAAGCAAATGAATCAGGCAGAAAGAAACAACGAGAGAAAGTGGTCAAATATTTTTTAAAATTTGCATGGAAAAAAAAGAGCAGAGGTAAAACCGTAAGGTAAAACGATTAGAATTTAATTACATACAAAAAGATTATCACCACCTCATGTCCCGTTATAAGCTAATTGCGGATAGCAGAAAAAGGCATTCCGATAGAAGCAAAGACGAATTAAGCGCATGTGCAATTTGATTGCAGAAACACATCACATAATCAACACTGGTAAATTTATTTACCTAGTAAACCACTAATTAATTAATGGTTAATATATACATTAAGTTATGATTTATATATTAAAGGATCAAAATAAGTGACTATGAAGTTGTATTAGAAGGAAATTTCCAACCAAAACGAATGCAGTCTCGTGCGTAATCACAATTTACAGAAGTAAGCAGTTAAGAAAGTCGTGCAGTGAAGATCATCCACAAAGAACACGAACATCGTACATATATTACCAAATCTAAAATTTCAGTAAGAATAAATTAGGAAAGAAAAAAAAATAAAGTGAAAACATTGAAATCAAAAGTAAAAACAAAAATAAGAGCCAATTTATCATAATCGTCCCTTACCACTTCTTCATAATTTCCCTCTAACCACAATTAGCATCGCCAAGATCATATGCACTTCTACTTTTCACATGTGGTTCGGCTCTTCCATTGTCAGGTTTTTGCGTTCCATTTATTATTTCGAAAAGTTTGGATGCTTCAGAAATAAGCTCCAACTTTCGTTCACGCTCATCTTCTAATTGCTTTTTGAGTTGCTGCAACGTGAAAGTGGTTGGCAAAAAGAGACTGGAAGGCTTATAAACATGCATTTCACCACAAAAATAGTCTATCCATTGGCAGAACCACTGGAATGGTAATTACTATTTCGGTGATTAAGACTTAGATTCCGAGGATGGCTTGAAATATGTTTGAGGTATCAAGTCCCATTCTCATATTTTGCTGTCCTACTACGTACGTCTCAAAAAAATCTGTAGAACTTTCTGCAAAAAAATGAAATAAATAATCACATCCTACGATCAAAAAGGGCCAATCAATAATTCATTCCAGGACTTCGAAAAAATAGTTTGCATTATTGTTTTGCACACTTAATTAAAGCAAACAAAAAGCATTAAAACATGATGTAATTGACGAAAGCAGTAAACAACAAAACATAAAGATGGAGAAGTTCAGCATTCAAACGTGCGATTAGTACACATTAAGACTTTTTCAAAATTTTAAGGTATAACAATAGGTTCAATCATACTTTATCACTGCACCATTTTATTCAATTCCTTGTTTACAAATCTGAAAATTTCTCTTTTCAAACAAAATGTATATAGAAATTGAAACAAACCTCGTTTATATCATGTCGTAAGCGAGAAATTTCGCTAAGATATAGTTTTTCCTTTAAAATGGCTTCTTGCTCGATCGCATCAATTTGAGAAGACTGCAAAGGAATCCACAAAAAAATGATAACCTACTACAACTCATTTTACATATAGACCTTGTATCAAGAATTATTCATAGTACACAGTAACGGAAAGGTTACATTCAAAGGAAAAGCAAAATATCAGTCGATCTTTTTTTATCTTTTTTCTTTTTTATTACCACACATCCTAATTATTGACTAATTGAAATTTTTCTTAAAAAAAATAATGTCTTCCTTATCGCTGTAGAGAAAATCAATAAATTTTTCACAATACATAATAGTTTTTTGTGCTTAGCAACGAGAACTTACAAGATTGGTAAGTGCTATTCGATACCTTTGATTACTTGCCTCCAGCTCTGCAACTTTCGTTGAACTAATTTTATCTTCGCTTTCATCGTTTCGATTTCCATTGAATTCTTGCTTAAATATACTATACAAGTAAATTTTTCCTCCGTAAACCGATCAAAATTTTCGACAGTTCACCATTTAACGATAAATTGCATTAGTCTATCCAATTAACCATTGACCAGCAAGCAACAACAGTAATCTTTCAAGATTTCTTCAACTCAAATTATGACCAACAAAATCACAAATCTCTGAAAAAAAAAAAACCCCCTACTGACTTTTACATTTTTGCTCTTCTGTACCACATTTTCGACATCCTGCAACCATTTGTAGAACTGTTCCATATCAGAAATAACGGGTTGATTAGGCAACTTTGTATTCGACGGTACAATTGCACGAAGCGTCTTGAATACATTGCAGCAATATTGTTGACGAGATTTCTCATGATTTTTCTGCAGAAAAAAGTGTTACGTTCAATTCGACTCAAATTATATGGCCCATAAAATTACAAACTTCCGAAATATTTTAGCACAATTTCTGCAAATTCCACTGATTCTTCAAATTCTTGAAATGTTATTTCTCTCCTATCTCTTTCTTCGTTTACAGTTAAATCAAATCTATTCGGCTAATTCTAAATTTACCTCCACTTCTTCCATGTGCTTCTTGAAAATGGCTTCTTGCTGCTGCGAAATTTCTACTATCTTATAATTTGCCACACGTAACTCCTTAAAAAAATATATTACTCGAACAGACGATAATTCCGAACTAATTTGCTCGAAGAAACTATCTGGATGTAAAAAGTACAGCAGAGATCTTCCGTAAAATATGCCAAAATCACATTTTTAGTGTTACCTGACTGGGAGCATGATCTTGATTCGAACTTGGGAAGAAACCGAATCAAACAAAACTCAACTCAAATTTAAGGTTAGTTTTACATTTCTTTCTACATTTCTTTCTGTATTTGTTTTCCCTTCATTATAAATATATTTCTTCATGTATTTGCCGGGTTCAACTAATTTTCAGAAATGGATCCTGCAGCACATGGAATTTAAAGGAATATATGATGTGAGAGTATAAGTGCTGTGGGAGTATATGATAAGCGGTTGTCCATAATAAAAAAACTGCATGCCCCAACGTTGCATTTCAATTCCATCTACAAGATCATGTTGCCAGCAACAATGAAGTTTAATCAATTAACCTCATTTTTCTTCTTCAGTTCATCGATTTCCAATTTAAAATTGTCGCTATAAATTACAGCATCACTTTTCGGTGTCGAGTGGACTCCGTGTTCCATCATCTATAATCGAAGAGACTTCTAACAACGCGCTGCCTTGTATGAGAAAGTTCAAAAAAAGCTTACATCTAAATTTCAAAGATCGAATTTTTTTTAAATGAGAAGTCTAACAATTTTAGCCGTCAATTCTGTCCAAATCTATATAAAACATTTCTTATCTTTTCTCCAGTTTATTTTCATCTAAATGAGTTAATTTTTCGCGATTAAGAAAATGTTTATGAAGAAATAAGAGAGAAGAATTCTGCTGAAATTATCTTAGCTATTGATTTGCATAATACATAGGTTTTCTCAATCTATACATACCTTATATAGTTGTTCCGACCAAAGTGGATCATTTCTCCACTTTTAATATTTAAAATTTTGATACCGTCATCAAAGCATTTCTTGCTTATCCATTTTTCAAAGTTAACAAGAAAGAATTTAAATCAATGTAAAGAGGATTAAAAATACTTACTTTCTCATGCGCGTCCGTATCATCACAAGACATCACTGTTTCTCTGCAAAATATTTTCGTTTATACACAATGAGGATAGATCTATATATTACTAACAAATAAAAAAGATTGATACATTCCAGTTTTTCCTCTATGAAGTAAAATACCAAATAATATATTTACTCTGCATTACTATATAACCGCCCACCCCTCATTTTGACAAAAAAACTAATAATATTATGAGTATGTGAGATAAACTTACTAAAGAAAACACTTAATTACTAAAGAAGCATTATGTCCTTTTTTTTCACCTAGTGATTCTAAATCTAAATCCTTCTTTATGGTTTGTAGCAAATTACAGAATTATGGTCTTTGGTAAATTACAAAATTTTAAAGATATATTATCGTCCTGATGCTTCAAAAAATTTTTCCTGCTAACCTTCCCATTTCAATTTTCTTGTATTTCGCGATTTCCTGTTCCAAAGAGACAATACGATTCAATTTTTTACTGTATTCGCTTCTAAATTCGTTCAACTCTTTACGGCACTTTGCAACTTCAACTGCTTCTCTAGAAATTCTTAAAAAGATGGCAATTAGATGGAGGAAAAGCAATTTGCAATCCTTTGAGCTTTCATCAACGCTAACTATTAAAAAAGCACGATGTTTTTTTTAACATCAGTGACTAGTAATGCTTTAAATAAAAAAAATTACTTACTCGGCAGACATCTCCTTAATGTACTTTTCTTTCTCTTCTCGGACACATTCTAGTTCATTCTTCAGCTTGGCAGTTTCCTGAAAAAGATTAGACATCAAACAAATTTTCAAGGAAATCAGAAATAAAAAGTTTGTGAAACCTACTGCATCCAAATTATAGCTAAGATACCACTCACAAATTTTTCATCAACATTTGCTGACTGCTTCATATTGTATGTATAACCCCCGACCCCCTTTATTTTTATTTTTACGATCTCTCTGTATATATGCACAAAAATATTTACTTATATTTAATCTAAATTTCAATGCATCGTGAAATCTGAAGTACTCCAAAGCTAATCATTATGACAGTTCAATTGTTTTTTTTTTCTCTGAATTGGTCATAATTTCTAAACTACGAAACACCATGTCGAGTCTCGTTTTTAGATCGGATTGATGAGTCGGCTAATAATTGACTGTATCATTTTTGCATTATTCTCGCAATAAAATCAGCATAGGTAGAAGAAGTTGTAAATCAGGAAACTCGAGGCTATCATAAAAAATTACCTTATATTGGGCTTCCATAATATCAGCAAGCTGTTTTCGATATTTTTCAACTTCCTTCGTTAATTCGTTGCAGTTTGCATCATTAGTTGCACTTATGTTTTGCAGTGCCGCCAGTTGATTGCTTAACTACAATAAATTTTAAAACAATGCTTAACCAAGGAATAAGACATCAATAAGGCGGATCAAAGTTTTGCTATTTGACCTTAGAACAATTTGCGCAAAATGAATACAGATGAGAAAAAATCTCTTACTTCTGCGTTTGCAGCTTCCATTTCAGCTAATTTTTTGCTGTAAGTAGCACAATCATTCAAATATTTCATGCGTTCTCGATTAGCATCCATAAGTTGCGCATTCAAAATATGAATTTGTTCACACTGCTGAAAAAGTGCAAAAATTTTAATACATATTCCTTCAAACATCATTTAACAACGCAAAGACGTCGTCTTATGTTTTCTTAATTAGCCTTAATTTTCAACTCCCACATCTCATGCTTTTATTTCTATTAGATTCTTTCATAATACTAAAGGAGTACTCTCAGCTTCGCCAATCCATTCTAAGTTAGCGAATCGATCGAAATGGCAGAAACTGAATCAAAACTTGGAAAAGAAGCTGTGATTCAATTTATATCGTTTCAATTCAAAAAAATGAGAGAGCATTTAGTGAAAAGAAAAATTAATTTCTAAGCACATTCAAAGCAACTACTGAAGAGCAGATTTCGACTCCAACAAAATACCAATATCGCAAAAGAAAGGATCACACAATTTACCTTTTCTTGTTCCTGAACTGCTGTTTCTGCATTTCCTCTATGTTGCAACATTTCGTCTCGAATCTCGGAAGTCACCGCACTTAATTCTTCTGCCACTTTCATAGTATTTTGCAGTTTCATCTCAAGCGTATCACGTTCTGCTTTCTAAATAAGAGATAAATAAAATATCTTTGTTCAAATATCCCATTGTTATCACCTTTAGGTAACAATAAGTTAGACAACAAAAATGTATGCCACGTATTAAGAAATTCACATGCAAAACTTCCTATAATTTTCTGTTCGAAAATCAATGTTTGTTCATTATTTCCTCATTATTTAATTATATTATTTGCTTTTAGATAATTTTCTATTATAATGTAATTTCATAATAACTCAAACATTCCTACCGCATTGCCTTCCACATCTTGCAAACGTTTCTCGAGTAAAGCATTCGTTTTACTTAAATGTTCGATTTGGCAATCTTGATTCTGGAAAAGAAAAAAAAAGCACGACTGCAGTGAATCTAAACAAAAGTATAAAAAACCTTGCCGATAAAAAGATAAAAAGAGATTATCGCAGAAAATTCGAACAGAGTGAATACTTGCCGTAATGAAAAAATAGCAAGAGAAAACAAACGAATAAAGAAAAGATACACTTGTAATATATAAAATTTTTATTGAATTTTTAGAAACCATGAACTAGAATTCTACTAAAGAAATCTTGGTAGAGCTACGGACTGCTACTTCTCCCAGAATTTAGGAAAATCCTTGTCTAATGTCATCGAAATAAAAAAGTTAATTTTGTCGAAGAGAATAATGGAAAAATGAAAGCACTACGATTTGAATCGCCGTATCTTCATTTCATGCTGGCTTCATCTGAATCATATATGAAGCACTTTTAGGATGTATATTAACTCACCTGTAACTCCTTCCTTATTTGTTGCATTGCTTGTAATCGTTGATTTAGCTCCAGTTCTTGCTGCGAACAACGATTTTTGCTAGATGATAACTCCTGAAAACAAGGACAAAAAACTATCTTGGCATTTACAGCTATTATTACACAGTTTATACTTCTTTAACTAAAATGTTTCAAATAACAACTCTCACAAATAAAACATTTCATTTATTTAAAAACTAGAGTATCACAACTGTATATAGTTGTTAAAATAAACACATACGCCAATCCTGAAAGAGAAATTGTGGCACTCACTCTCACCTTGGTTAATATCTACCTTTTAGTTATATATTCTATTACCCAGTTAATAGATAGACTCATTCACAACAACTTCAATTCACCAAATAAATAACAGATAAATAAGTGGTTTTCTTGTAATGAAAAAAATGAAACACATTAAAAAAATTAAAACATACGGCTTTTAATCGGTCAATTTGTTGCTGATAAGGTTTGGTATCAACGGGTGGTGGCGTCGAGTGAATAACAGATTGCGCCTTTTTCATCTCTTCCCTCAATGCAGCAAATTCTCCTTGCAACTGAAATAAAGTGGAAAATAAAATTTAAAATAAGTGCTGAAATTTCAAATAAATAAATTTTCTGATTTGTTCGAAGTCACATTTCTGCTATCAAATTCTTCTTCTCATCTCTGACATTATTCGAAGTCTTGGAACATAGGTAGTATAAATATGCTACCTATTTACATCAAAATTCAATCGTTCATTATCAAATAATAAAAATTTTGCTTTGCTCCTTGACGGAACTAGGTGAAATAAACTGTACCTGATTATGTTTTCGTTGTAAATACGATTTTTCTTGTGTGTTATTACTTAGCTGAGTGCACACTGTTTGTTCAAACAATTTGTACTTTCTTTTCTCTTCAGTTAATGTTTTCCTAAAAAAAATTGAGACACATACTTCGATCTTCAGTCAGTAACCAAGAAAATAGCAATTAATACTAGTTAGCTATTCGATAATAGGAAACACAGTGAATAAGGAGGATGAATGCTATATTCCAAACTTTACTGAATGGTAACAGTAAACGGAAAAAATGGAATTAAGAAGGGAAACTATTATCCTCATGATTATTATTAACTGAAGAATTATTATCCCTATCGGTGGTGTTATTTCATAGAGAGCCAGATTATTTTATACTTACTGGAGCATAGCAATTTCTGAATCCTTTTGTTCAGCTGCAGTAAGTTTATTGGTACACTGCAGGACGAGACGATCTTTATCAGCGATTTGTTTTCTCATCAAAGCAATTTCATCATTTAATTTGGCTCTCTAAAATCCAAGACATCAAAAAAAAATTTAATTACATTAATAAGTTGGAAAACTAATTAATATAGTCAACTTTGTCTCCTAAAAATCATTTCTAACTATTTCTAATGCTAAGTTAAACCGTTTTACTTTTCATTTCAATAACACATTCTGTCACGGAAGGGTATGTACGTACAAAAAAGAAGCAAGCTACTCAGGTAACCTGCGTATTCATATTATTGGTATAATTCGCGAAAAAAGTGATATATTCTGATTCAAGCTCTGCAATTGCATCTAAACGTGCTTGAAATTTGTTCACGTTGATATCTTTTAATGGAATTCCTGAAAAAAAATGCTATTTCATTTATAAGTTACTATTTAAAAAAATTAAAAACAGGAAGACACCAATTTCACGCCGCTTCTTGACAGTTGAAATTGTTAGTAGTATTACTACAATGAATATTTTACTAACCTTTCTTTTCCAGCTTTTTATCCTCACTTTTCAGAGGTAAAATTTCCATAGTTGGAACAATGTTCTCTGTTACTTTGATTTCTTCCTTTACGATTTGACGCAGATGTTCTCCATTCCGTCGTGCACGATTCCTTTTCTTTGCTTTTCGCTCGCCAACTTAAAATTTTGCATTCAGTTTATAAATTAAATTTTGTTTCTGAATGAGAATCTACGAAAAAGTATTGTTACCCATCCTATAAGATATTTAAATGAATAAAAAATAAAAATAAACAAAGGGTAACTAATTATCGAAAACGAATTTACTCACAGTCCACGCCACGACTTCTCTATTTCGTAAAATCAGAATAATAACAAACGTCAAAATATTCTATCTCAATGAAATAATAATGCTGAAAGAGACCAAGCAATGTTAGATTATGAGATTTGTATCTTTAAAATATGAAAAACTAACTATCACTGCGCCTATTTTCATCATGAAGAATATTTGCAGTAGGCATTAGCTCGTCATTTGTCTTTTCGGCAACATCTTGCTGCATTACTAAATCTCCAATACTCTCGACAGCAGAAACTTTCGCATCTTTCGCTGATTCTGTATACAGCTTAATTTAATTCCAAACATTAAAGTGAAAAACTAATGCTTGAATGGTTAAGAGTTTTTCTAAAAGATTTAGAGGATAACTCCAGCAATGAATCATGTTAGCTAACAATAGCTGGATAAGTGTATTTAATAGCTTCCTCATAAGAATTATGTGATAACAAATAATGCTATAAAAAAACTTATCAAGTAGCTGAAAGAAATAAAAGCTTAAATTGTGAGTTCGATAATTCCTATCAGCTTCCACAAATAGCAAAGATAAAAAAGTAAGAAAAATAAACAGACCAGCCATTAACTGTTTGCCTTTGAATTTCTTACGGTTCGGCTTTGCATCAGCTTCATCACCATCCGTACCATTCATTTCTTCAACTCCATTTGTCGATAATCGAACATAAAGTAAATCACCATTTGCAGATTTCTGGAAATGGAAAGTGCTATAAAATCACTAAACAAGTATGGCTTCTGTATTTTGAATAATGACACTACAAAATACGACACTTTCTGTATGTACAAAATTTCCTGTTTATTTCAAAATTCGATGCCATATAGCAATTTTCATGCGTTATAAAAATTTGAATTCGACGAATATAAAAGAATGAGTAATGGCGAAATATTTTGAAGCAAATTTTGGTGAAGTACAGCCAGTAAAAATTTCATAGGACAAACATTAAAATCAACATCAAATGCGATAAGTTCCTATTGCAATATGTAAACCTATAAATAAAAACCTACAAATCTATACTGTGGACTGAAGAAAGAATTATATCTAAAAAATTTATGTGAGCCATGTGATGTAAAATACTTTATTAAGGTGTCAATTTAGGATCATAAATTTTTTAGTCTTTAACCTCATGAGTCATAGCAGCAAATAATTTCACCCATTTAAATACTTACTTCACCTCGATTTTGCTTTTCTTCTACTCCGAAATCTTTTTTTCTTTCACCATTCTTCCCTTTATTCTTGCTTTTTGCGTTTTTTGTCTTATTCGCACGATCCTCAGTGAGCAGTCGTAAAGCATTCTCGCCATAAGCCTACAAAAGATAAAACAGTGCAGCTAATGATAATAAACGTGTCATAAGCCATTACATCCTAAGAACTTGCTCTCTTTGGACGAAGCAAAACTTTGCAAAAAAACTAATTCCGATCCTTATATTTTATCATTATATAGGATAAAAATTGAGTGAATGTTGGTAAAGATAAACCTTTTCAAAATCAGTTTCTTTCGGGTACATTTTAAAGACAATAATCGAAATTACAGTAATCACAACGGTCATTACTGCCACAGAAGCGAATGATGTCGGATCCATCCCCTAAAACAGTAGCTTGTAAGTTGACTAGCATCAACGGTAAATGATGCACGTCAAATTTCCGAACTTATGATAATTCCTTTCACATTTCACATTCGCGCACGAAAAGCAAGAATCAATCCATAAGCCATATTTAAACATGCTCTACTTTGAAATTTTAGGATATTTTTGATGGCAACATGCTGCTATAATAAATGTGGAAATAAATTGTTATACCTCTCACTTTCCCTGAAAAAAATTTCACCATTTTATGTAAGCTATAAGTCTCCAATTTTAGCAGTGAACTTATAAGAGAAGTCATTATACGCGATATCCTATGATAATTGTTCACTGTCAGGAGGATTCTCGATTTTCTAAAGTCTTGCAAAATTGCTCTGATGCGTAAAATTCTGATTTAAAGTCCTGTAAAACTTTAAACTAACAGCTGGAACCATTGAAAGTTGTAAACGTCAGAGACAAATCTATTTCCACAATGTTCAGCAAGAGCACGGAACTCCCATTAGACCGATTCCTAGGAAAAATTACAGATGCATTAAATTAAGTCATAACACTGATAACCATATCTTATGAACAGTTATTTTACATATTCAAATTCGAGACTAAAATAAAAGTGAAAGATAAAGAGAATCAACAGAAAAAAAAGATAGAAAACAACTAAATTAGAAGTTAGCAAATGTGGACTTGCTAGAAAAAAATGCTGGGGAAAGCATGCTAGATTCAGTTAGATCGATATTTTGAGGCCAGTGAAGTACACCTTATCCTCAATTGATTTCGTTGGTAATACTTATGAACGGAAAATACTGCGTAACTTGGGAAAAAGAATAAAGAATAAAAGAATGATTTCGAAATGTACTTACTAATATTCAAGAAAGTCTAAACGAAAATGAGATACAATTCTTTTAATGCTAAATCTTCAAATTTAAACTAGCATGTTTCAAATCCAAAGAATTTGAAACAAAATTCGCACAGTAATCCAAAAGCTAGGAATAGCTGAAAATGCAAGCATCACTGGAAAAGAATTTTGACATTTCGCTGAACCACAAAAGATCAATATTTTTGCAACATTATCTTTTCCTAAATAATTCTCCATAAGGAGATGAATAACTCTTTTGCAATAAGTGTCAACAACGTTCGATATTTTGAATACTATAATATGAAATGCAAATATATAAACAGAAAGTATCAAATAATCAATAATCATTTATAAAAACATACAGTTGAGAATTCACGAATCATAGTATTATGAAATAAGATTTAATTAGTGACCTATTTCTACTGAAAGCATAAAATCTATATTGATCAAGCAAAACTATAACTTAGCAGTTATACCTTATGTTAATGCTTACTTGATTTAAGACGCTTTAAACAGTTTGCTATCAAATAAAACAGATATGTTTTCTGCAAAATTTTCAAACCTACAAAAATTTGAGAAATATGTCTTAATTCCCATTTATATTATCACAGAAAAAAAAAAACAACTCAAAACAAGAATTTCCCTCTTCGTTACTGACAGTAACAACTACGTTTACATAAATTTTGCTCCTGTTTTTTCCGTCCATTTCTCATTTCAGAAACTGAA